CAAATTTGAGACCAACTAGAGATCCTGTCTCAAAAAATCATGAAGAAGGCTGGGAGCTGGCTCAGTCAGCAAGGTGCTTGCTGTGAAAGTCTGAGGACCTATGTGGTGGCCACTCCCTGCAACTCCAGGGCGGGGAATATGGACGCAGGCGGGTTGCTGAGGTCAATGTCCAGCCATACTAGCCTACTTCAAATGTACACGAGGTAGACCATACACAAGGAACAGCACTTCAGGATGCTTTCTGCCCTTTGTATTTACAGACATGCATGAGCACACATATGCACAGGAACAAATGAAAAACTCACATCAAGATAGGAATAAACCAAATGTGGTGGCATATACTTATAATTGTTTTTTTTTTTTTTCGGGGGTGGTTGTTTTTGTTGGTTTGTTTGTTTTTCCAACAAAGGGTCTTACTATGTAGCTCTAGTGGTCCTGGAATCCAGTCTGGAGACCAGGCTGGCTTCTAACTCACTCAGAGATCCATTTGCCTCTGTCTCCCGAGTAGTGGGATTAAAGGCGTGAGCTACTGTGCCTGGCAATCCCAGCACTTAGAAACTGAAGCAGAAGAGTTATTCCATGTCCAAGATTAGCCTGCACTCCACAATAGACCCCAGGCCTCCCTGTCTTAAATAAAATAAAATAAAATAAAATAAAGTAAAGTAAAATAAAATAAAATAAAATAAAATAAAATAAAATAAAATAAAACCAGAAATAGTGATGTGTGCCTGGAATCTCAGCACTTGGGAGATGGAGGCGAAGGACTAGGAGTTTGAGTGGTATGTGATCAACTTTAAGGCTAGCCTGGGCTATCCAAGACCCTGCCAGGAATGAAGAAAGCCAAACACAAACATGGGTTTAACTGAGCTCCTCCTGGCAGGGACTGATAACACAGGATGCTAGGGACAGGCTGAATTTGGATATATTTCCCCTCTTTATCATAAATCCAGAGAGGCAGAACCATAGGACTGTGTCTACTCAAGGAGGGAAGGAGACAGAGCTGTAGGAAGTATAGCCCATGGGTGATAATCCTGAGATACAAGGTAGTTTGAATAGAAAATAGTCACAGACTCAGTGATCATGGAAACCTTAACCCCTCCGGGCCTGTAGCTGGGATGAGGTCAGTGTGTGCCTACTAACTCCCACTGGGGTAGCTAGAGTTAGGCAGTTGACAGAAGAGACACATTAAATCCTGTTGGATTAGGCGAAGCGTTCTTGGTAATAATACTAGAAACTAGAATTCTGTGTTGGGATTTCAAATTTCTATGTTTGTGATTTCCTTGGGGGGAATACGGGTCTCAGTAGGGGAAAAGTCAGTGGAGAAAAGGTCACACTAGCCTGGTCAGATTACCTAACCGAACTATTCCTGTCTCTCTCATTTATCTCCTCACCTTCTGGCCAGGCGTATTTAAGGACAGATAGCAAGGACCTGTATCTGCAGCAGCTTCTTTGGTCAGAAATCTCTGTGGTGTCCATGATGTGACTCCTGACTTGCAGGTTGTAACCTTGAACTCTTGGGTCCAAGGTTTTTCTGTTTCCTTACTAGTTGCGGGAATTGCTGGTCGCCAGCTATCCTGGCTGCAGAGGTTCTTGGAAACAACTGGCGATGTGCCCGAGGTATCTTTAGCTTGCCTGGCCGAAAATAAGGTGGGAGATCAAGGGGATTGAATGACAGCTTGGCAAAATGGGCATGTCCCACCATTTGGAGGACAAAGGTTGGAGTAACCACTTGGGATCAGTTGTACTGCCTCAAAGACAAAGTGTCATATAAATCAAGTCATATTTGAACTCTGCCCTGCCTGGACTCCTGCTTTTACTGGCAGGTGACCTTGTTGGACCAAGCCAGTGACTGGAGTTCCAGTACCATTTGTACATTTACAAGTGGGTCCACACCAACCCTACTGTGGAGTAGGGGTCTCAGGAGACAACTTGTCCAGATTCATGTATCAGACATGAAGAAACCGAGGCACGGAGTCTTGACACAACTTTCCAAAGTGTACGAGACTATGGAGTAAAGAAACCAAAGCCATGAGACGATGCTTTGCCTATCTGAGATGACGATTGTTTCCCTTCACTTAGCTTCTTGATTATTTTTTCTTTTATTTCTTTTGAGACAGTGTCTCCTGTGCCCCAGCTTGGTCCCGAATTTTCCATATAGCCAAGGGTTGTAGGCCTTTATGTTCGGTTATGTGGTGTTGGGGATAGAGTCTAGGACTTTGTGTATGCCAGGCAAATGCCCTATCTACTGAGCTACACCCCCAATTCATACCCTGCTTCATTCTTGACCAGCCTACACCCTTCTTTACTTTCAAAGTTCAAAGAACCATAAAAATAAGTTATAGAAACTACCTTTTCCTTACCAAACCACGGGTGTCTAATCGCTCCATCCACCGGCCTTCTGGCCCTCTCGTTTCTTTTGTTGTCCACTCTCAACCCAAACTGCTTGCTACATCCAGATCTCTCTTTGGTCCTCCCTCAGACCACATGAGTCCTTGTGTCTGTTCACAGACTTCCCATTTCACACGCCCTGCCCAAGTAGGTGAGGCCTACGAGTGTAGGTGTGGAACATGGTCAGGGAGAGGAGGTTTCCTGCTGTAAAGGCTAGTCTGCAGCCCGGGCTTAGAAGCACTTTAGACAATAAAAACTGCCCTTAGTGTGTACTATGTACCCAGGTGGCAAACTCTGCCTGAGTCTGATGTACATTTGTAGGCAAATCCTCAGCTGTCATGCTGCCTGCCTCTCCAGGAAGAATAGCTTTGACCGTCTGCTGGGCCTAGGCTGCAGCCTCTGTTTGGTAGTGCTTGTGGGAAGTTGGGGAAAGGTCAGTGGAAATAGTTTAGCTCATGACTGGAACCGATTAGGAATCTGGGGAAGCTGCTGGGTCTCGTGTCACCGGCTTTGTCCAACAAGGTCACCTGCCAGGCAAGGCGGCAGTCCAGGCAGGGCAGAGTCCAAGAACAGCCTAATGTTTATGACACTTTGTCTTTGAGGCAGTATGACTGATCCCAAGTGGTCATTCCAACCTTTGTCCTCCTTTCTCTTGTACCATGGGAAAAGGGACGTGAAGAGGTGAGAGTGTGGAAAGATGGGTGGGGATCAGTTTCCTGCCTTTCTTTACCACCTTTAGTTTGGGATCTTTGTTTCCATTAAGAAGTCCCCAGGGATGTGAGAGGCTCAGATGGTGGCTGCCTCCAAGCCTGACGACTTGAAGGTGAGCCCCCAGACCCATACGGCAGGAGAGTACTGACTCCTGTCCTCTGGGTTCCCCACACAAGCCATTTTATACACCCTTAGCCAAATAAATGAAGTGTAATAAAAAATGGAGTTTCCAGAGGAGCATCAGGTGGGCTAGCTGGTGGCAGTGTCTCTCAACACAGACGAGGATTTAAGTGATGAGGGTTAGGATGGTGTCTCCCCTCCACTGTGCGTGCAGGGGACGAAGTGGGGAACGACAGCAGAAAAACAACAACAAAACCCCAAATGTTCAGGATCTTTGTTTTCTGCGGTTCCCTCCCTAGCTACAGTCACTGGCTGTAGAACTGTGGGAAACCCCAGGGACAAGTCTCCTGGCCCCTCCCTTCGCTCACCTCGGAGAGCTAGAAAAGGAAACACATCAATCATCACAAATTGCTCAATAACTCTGGAATGTTCGTTTCTATTCCTGTTCCCCGGCTCCGTTTCCTTGGCCGGGCTTCTATCTCAGCGCTTGCTACCACATTTAAACGAGGCCTTTAAGGTGCTTTTCCTCCATGGAGTCGAAGCACTGTACAATGGGGTCAGAAATACCTGACCTTGGATTTCAGCACTTTAACCCACGATACTGTAGGAAATTCTGTCAGCCTGTCTAAAAGTAATTGGGAAGTTTGTTGGACGCTTCTCTCACAGTCCATCTTTAGACTTTTAAATGCTCAATGGGGCCTCCTGTGGTAGCATCCCAGATGTCTATGGAGCTCTCCTTACTCTGTTTCTATACTGGACACGCAACTTACTCGTGGCCGTGGCATGTCAAGTGCATGCAGCCAATCAGTTCGAGGAAGGCTTCCTCAGAAGCCAATCAGAACCCAGGGAAGTGACCTCACCCAAGGGATCGCTGTGTGGGCGAGGAAGCCTCTCTTAGAGCTATGAGTGTCCCTAAATCACTCCCTTCCTCCCCACCCTCCTTACTTCCTGGAAGATAACACCGCCTACCCCGTCCCCAAAGTGGAGTGAGAAAGGCTAAGTCAATTCCACAAAGGAAAGAACAAAAAAATATGAAGCTGCAAGGCACACCCTGGCTGTCGGTAGAGAACAGTATATTTAGGGAGATCCCTAAATATGCCTTTCAAAGTGGGCTCTTCAGGTCCTGGAAGAGACCCATGTAAGCTGAAAACAGTGAGTCACTCCTCTCTCCCGGCCCCTGGCTTTCTTGACTCCCTGCACAAAAATAGCTGCAATCACTCTTTGTAAATAAGGACGAGATCAAGGTCAAGTGTGAGAAAGGAGAGGGCTGGCGTCCTGGTGAACATGCCTGAATATGCAGGCTCATGTCCCCGTGCCGCCTGAGGCCGAAGGCTGGGGTAGTCTGTGGGAGAGCCTGTGCTTTCCCCAGCAATGTGTTCAGACAGCATTGCAGATGAGTTCCAGAGTGTGTCCCACGGGATGGCTTAAGGCGGTGACAGCCACCCCCTCTCCCCACAGTGTCACACTGGACAAGCAGAGGTTTGACATTGGTGGCATAGGCCTGGGATCCCAGCTTGGGAGGCTGAGACAGTTTAAGGCCTGTTTGGGCTACAGGGTTAGTTCAAGGCCAACTTAGGCAACTTAGCAAAAAACGCTGTCTAAAAATTTTAAAATAAATATATACAAAGAGCTAGGGATGTGGCTCAGTGATAGATACTCGGTTACCATGTGCAAGGCTGTAAATTCAAGCCTTTGAAAGGGAGTGTGGTGGTGAGAACGGCTTGACTGGACATCCCCTTCAGCCTTTCCTCCAGCCCTTTCCCAGTAGACAACACTCTGGGTGGAGAGACAGATACAAACATTTTATTTAAAAATACAAACCAAGACTTACTCCCCTTGACTGTCTCCACCCCGGCATCCCTTAAACTGTCAATGGCTGTGCATCACAACCCCCAGGGATCACACAGGTCACCTGGATTCTGACTAAATACTTCTTCCTCAACAATAGTAAATACTAGTAAGTCTGGTGTAGTGGTGCATCCCTGTAATCTCAAGACTTGGGAGGTGGAGGTGAGAGGATCAAGAGTTCAAGGCCAGCCTCAGCTACATACTGAGTTCCAGGCCAGCCTGAGCTACATGAGATCCTCTCTCAAAAACAGTAACAGGAAAATCCCCTAAGTAAATAGGAATATTTAGTTCCTATATCTCAAATCAAGAACGATATATGGGCCCAGGTTCTCAGTCTGTGGCCCAGGTTCTCAGTCTGTGGCCCAGGTTCTCAGTCTGTGGCCCAGGTTTTCTTCAGTATATGGCCTCATCCATATTGTCATCGCTGTCCCCTCCAAAGTCCTCTCCATTGTCAAAATACGACATGATGTAATCAGTTTCCTGAAATGTAAAAAGAAGCAAAGATTGGGGATGATTTCAGAGTTTTCTTCTCTTCATTTCCAGGCTCTTTCCTTCCCAAATATACCTTTCCATGTCTGGGACATCTCTATCAGCTGTTATAAATTTACTTTACTTTTTATGTGTATAGGTGTTTTGACTGCATGTATGTGTATATTGCTTGCATGCCTGGATCCCTCAGAGGCCAGAAAATGGCATCCGGTGCCTGGGAACTGGAGTTACAGGTGGCTATTGGGAGTGGAGCTTGAGTCCTTTGGAAGACCAGCACGTGCTCTTTACCATGAGCCATCACTCCAGCTCCATGCTGTAAAAGTTAACATTATTTGTTTGCCTGTATATGTGTGTTATATATGTGTGTGCATGTGTGTCCTGGTTGCACACATGGAGGTCAGGGGACACCCTGCAGGGGTTGGTTCTTTCCTTCTACTATGTGGGTTCTGGGGATTGAACTCAGATCATCAGGCTTGGTAGCAAGCCCCTTTGCCCTCTGAGCCATATCACTTGCCATGCTATGTGTTTTGAGAACAGGCCAGGGATAGATGAACTGGGGAAAGGCTTTTGTCTTTTGGTAGCACTGCAACTCTCTGAGAACATCTCCTGTGTAAGAGTTGAAAGCCCAGGGATAGTGAGATGGCTCAGTACAAAAGGCACTTGTCAAGCCGGAGGACCTGTGTTCAATAACCAGAATTCACATGGGAGAAGGAGAGAGCCAGCTCCCACAAGTTGTCCTATGATATCCACACATTTGCCATGACACATGCAAACACACGCGTATACACACATGTATACACACACTCATGCACACATGTAATAAAAGATGGCTTGGATGTTAAAAGCCTTTGTTGCTCTTCCAGAGGACCCAAGTTCAGATTCCAGCACCTAAGTTGGGCAGCTCACAACTGCTTGTAACTTCCTGTTTCAGGGGTTCAGAGACCCTCTTCAGGCCTCATCAGGCACCAGAACACGATTGGTATACAATCATCTAGAGTCTTGTATGCTAAGTCTGGAGGCATACTCATGTAATCCCAACAGCAGGGAATAGATGCAGGGGGGTTTCAGGGGGGTCCCCGGCCAGCCTGGCTTACATAGCAGAGACCCTGTCTCAAAACCAAAACCAAAAATACAACAAATCTTAAAAAAAAAAAAAAAAGAGTTGTGAGCCCACAACTTGTTCCAAGGAGGGGGTGGGGAAGGGGAGGAGCGGAAGCCCCTTCACCTCCTCATGCTCCTCTTCATCGTACTCCTCTTCCTCCCCCTCTTCCTTCTCTTCCTCTTCTTCTTTCTCTTCATCTTCCTCTGAAGTTACTTCCTCCTCCTTCTTCTCCAGAGTCTCATGTGAGGATGAATAGGAAGAGAAACTCACACTCACAGAACACGGGGAGAAGCGAGGCTCTAAGGGACCGGGAGGCCAGCTGTCTACCGCGCTTCCTCCTCACCTCTAGTTTCTGTATCGTCTCCTCCTTATCCTCTGTGCTCTTAGGGGGCCTCTTGGGAAGGATAATGGTGGTCCCTGTTTGGAGGGTCAAAAGTGAGTCCTTAGGAAGCACATCTCCTAACTAGCTTTCTTTCCGGTTTTTAAATTTGGGGTGTGTGTGTATGTGTGCGTATGTGAGACACACACGAGGAAGTCAGAATGAGTTCTTCCTTCCTTCCAACATGTGGGTCCTAGGGATTGGTGGCGGGTGTCTTTATCAGCTGAGCCATCTCTCCCTCCATCCTGAGCCTACTCCACCCTCCTGCAGCAAACACGGCACTCTGCTGCCCTCGTGTGGTCTCTGGCAGCAAACGTGGCGGTCTGCTGCCCTCGTGTGGTCATTGTGGCACCGGCTAACGAAACCTCCTCCTGCAGATTCACTCACGCTCCTTCTGTACTTTTCGCACTCGAATCTTGAGCTCGCTGGGTAGCCGCCGCCAATCTGGGAAGAATGGGAGTGAAAATCAGCAGGATCCTGTCTGGCTGGGGGCTTCTGGGAAAGATGGCTGGTGCTAAGGGGAAGGGGAATGTTAGGAAGTTAGGAAGTTAGGAAGGAAGGAAGGGAGAGAGGGAGGGAGGGAGGGAGGGAGGGAGGGAGGGAGGGAGGAAGGAAGGAAGGAAGGAAGGAAGGAAGGAAGGAAGGAAGGCAGGCTGGCTGGCTTGAAGATTTTCGGAATAAAACTGTAGGCTGGACGCCTCTGGAGAGGTGGGCACTGTTGTTACAAATAGGGTTTTTACGTAGAACCTGAAAGTGTTGCAAAGCACATCTAAGACTCTAGTTTTTAGATGTTGTACAAGAAAGGGAGGGTGACGGTTTGAGGCACCTCAAGCATCTGAAAGAAGGGCATTCAGAGAAGGCCAGTCACTTACCAGGGTTCCAATCAATGGCGTTGTCAATTGGCCCAGACATCTGATACTTGTCTGAGTAACGTTCCACATCTGGGGGTCAGAGCCCACAAGTCAGAGTTTTATCCGTAGAACATCTGTCCCTAAGGGTCTCCCCTTCTTATCTATCGACCGCCTTGCTCTAAACCCAGAGCCCAGTGCTGCCAGCGTGGGCAGAGGCCTTGCCTCTCCTCCAGCTTGCCTTTTTGTTACTCTTGTCTTTGTCCAGAGTCCTCTTCTGAGAAGCAGCGTGCTTCAGGGACAGGACACACTGGGATAAAAACTGGGTTCAGCCTTCTGCTTCCCTCTCACTAATGGGGTTAACTTGGTAAGTCTTCCAGCTCTGCTTAGCTCCCAGGGACGCAGTAGAAAAGCATCAACTGTCAATACTTCTCATTTAGGGCAAATATCCATTCTCCCAAGCCGGCCAGCAGCCCTGCCTTCTCCAGCCTCCTGCTTTCACTAGTGAAGGGGAGAAGGCTTTGCACAGGTGGGGTGCTCAGAGGCCCAGCATCAAGGTCTCTCTAATTAATGAATTGGAAATTCATTTGTACCCCACTCCCCCATTTGTACATTTGAACTAAGATGCTAATGCTTTAATGTCCCATTAGCCCCAAGATTAAGTTCAACTCAAATCTCGAATAAGGTGATACATTTCAGATGCAGATACATTTCATTCAGACATTTAAGGCTCTCTCCATTGGACAGTAAGTTTCCTGAGCCTCACTAGCCCCAAGAGAGCTGAGTGTGGACACTGCCTATAGAAGGCCCTAAACATGACACTAGCCTTTCTACTGACCTCTCTTGGGGACAGCTGGACGGATGAAGTAGGGGAGCTGCCTCATGGCCCCACGCAGCTCCTGCTTTAGTGCCAGGACATACTCCCCTTCCTCTCCTGCGGGCAGTGGCACTGGGTGGAACTCCAAGGGCTGAGGAAGTACAGGGTTAGTGAGGAGCACTGCAGTAAAACCTTAAAGGGCCTTTCCCCCAAGTAAAATCCAGTGTTCTCAGTAAGAATGGGAGGGCCAGGACGATGGAGGGCATTTTGAGAGCTGGAGAGTGGAGGGTATGAAGAGTGAAGATAAACACTTCTTTGCCTGGAAAACATCTCCCATGGGGCGTGACTGTAGAGACAGAATCAAGGTGTTGATGGCTCACCATGGGCCAGGAGGATTCTGTGCTCACATGGGCTCAATAGGGGCACATGGGAGGCTTAGGAAGGGAAGGGAGACACTCACAGGGAAGAGTGGAGAGGGCTGGAGAGTGGGCGGGGGCAAAGCGTCACCCTTCCCAATGCCCACAGCCTCCATGTTGAAGGTTAACTGGCCTCGGCCCCGACCCCGGCCCCCACCCCGGCCGGCCATGGTGGAGAGGGCCTGGATACGCAGAGATCCAGTGAGAAAAACCTAATAAAGACAAAAACAAAGATCCAGTGAGAAAACCTAATAAAGACAAAAACAAAGATCCAGTGAGAAAACCTAATAAAGACAAAAACAAAGAGATAAAGATGTAATACTAGAAGAGACACGGGGCGAGGAGCTGCGTGACACACGATGCTCTACGGCAGGTGACATTTCCCTCCATGCCCAGGTTCAAACCCAGGGCTTTTTTCGTGCTAGGCTAGTGCCCTACCTTTGGGCTAAATTCCAAATCCTTTTTTGGTGACACTTAAAAAAGTCAATGTGCTAGGCCGTGGAGGGACACGCCTTTAGTTTCAGAACTTGGGAAGCAGAGGAAGGAATTACTTTGAGTTTGAGGCCAGTCTGGTCTATAGAACGAGTTTCGGGACAGCCAAAGTTATACAGAAAAACCCTGCCTCAAAAAATGCAAAATAAGTAAAAGATACACTTAGTTACTTACTTACTTACTTACTTACTTACTTAAAACATAAATAAAACATTAGGAGTGATACCACAAACCTATAATCCCAGCCCTGTACTTGGAAGGCTAAGACAGAGGATTATCAGTTTCAGGCTAGCCTGGTCTACATAGAGTTCCAGGCCACTGAGGGATGAATAGCAAGATCATGTCTCAAAATAAACAAAGCTGGAGAGACTTTGTTCAGTGGTTAAGATGTGCATTGCTTTTGTAGAGGAATGGAGTTTCTTCCCAGGACTTGTGTCTGGTATCTCACATGGTTGTAAATCCAGCTCCAGGGAATCTAACTCCCTTATCTGACCTCTGAGGGCATCTGCACTCTCATGCACACACTTTTAAAACATTTAAAAAATATTTTTAGACATGATTTGGAGAGATGGTGTGATGGTTAAAAGTATCCCGTGCTCTTGCAGAGGACCTGGGTTTGGTCCACACAGCTCACACCAGGCAATTCCCATTGTCTGTAACTCTACTTTGGGAGATCCAATGCCTGCAACAGCCTCCATACACATTTTACATACGTGGTACACATACAAATAAATTAAATAATACTTTAAATTACTAAAAAGAGTTCAGCTAGAGAGATGTCTCAGTGGTTGAGAGTGGGTACTGCTCTTCCGGATGACAGGAATTTGATTCCCAGCACCCACAAAGACTCTCGCTCCAGGAGTTCCTGTGCCTTTGGCCCTCATGGATACCTGAATTCGTGTGTATACACAGAGATACACAGATCCATAATTAAAAACAAGACCAATCTATTTATTTTTAAGATCTTTAATTTTATTTTATGTGTATGGGTTTTTTGCGCGCGCACACACACACACACACACACACACACACACTTGAATGCAGTGCCCATGAAGACCAGAAGAGGGCACTGTTTCTCCTGAGACTGGAGCTATAGATGGTCGTTAGCAGCCTGATGCGGGTGCTGGGAAAACCCTGGATCCTCCACAGGAGCAATGAGTGCTCTCAATCACAGAACCATCACTTCAGCTCCCAAGAAAAGAAAATAAATTAATATTAGATTATAATCCCAAAGTACAAAGTACAAAGTAAACGTGATGGGCCTTCATAATTGCTTCTTTTCTTCCTGTTTGTGTATTAATTTTTCCTATAATGTGTGAACACTTCTTTTATAATAAGAGAAAATTATTAGGTAGGCATTGTGACTCGACCCTGTAATCCCAGCACTTGCAGGGCTGAGGAAAGAGAAGGGCCAAGCCAAGGAGTCTAGGGGCTAGCCTGGGCTATGCAGAAAGTTCTAAACTTGTGATCCTCCTGCTTCTAACTCCCAAGTTCTAATCTTACAGGAATGTGCCAACATAACCAGCCAATAAATAAAGTTATTGATTTAAAATTTTAACTAGGGATGCAAGCTGATAACCTGTGTTTGATCCACAGAACCAATGGGAAACAGAAAAAGGAGAATCCTGGGAGTCTAGAGGCTAATTAGCTCAGTGGTTAGAGACCCTTGCCTCAATAAGGTGGGGGAGGAACAGATGAGGTCAGAGGACTTTGAGGATTCTATCTCTCCCTCATGTGAAGTAAAAGTTTAAAAATTGAACTAAATGTAAATATTTTATATATCTCAAATCATATATAAGATTAATAATCTGTAGCAAGAAGATGGTATCTGAGGAGTTAGGAGTCTAACTACCATTACAAAAATGGAAGAAAAGAATTGCCATGAAAAAAAAAAAGCCGGACAGTGGTGGCGCACGCCTTTAATCCCAGCACTTGGGAGGCAGAGGCAGGCGTATTTCCGAGTTCGAGGCCAGCCTGGTCTACAGAGTGAGTTTCAGGACAGCCAGGGCTATACAGAGAAACCCTGTCTCCAAAAACCAAAAACCAAAAAAAAAAAAAAAAAAAAGAATTGCCATTGAGAGAGAGCATTTTGCTGGCCTCAGGAGAGCAACAGCTTGTCACCACATCTTTGTCTCCTTCAAAGGAAGAGGAGAGCAGCTGGCTTAGGCTTAGGTTTCTGTCCCACAGCTCCAGCTGTGGAGAAGCCAGCAGCTCTGATGCAGAGCTATCAGGAGCTAAGAAGAAAAGCCATGAGCTTGGAGCTTAGACGACTCCAACTACGTCCACATACTCCCACATTAAACAACTGACCACAAAGGAGCAGAGGGAGAGATGTGAACCCTGGCTAATGCCGGCATTAAGGGGGCGGGCGGAAACTACACAGAACTGGTCTTCCCTTCTCGGTTTGGGAATCTGTAATGAACCCATTTACAACTCTAAAAAATGGTACTGTACACTCAAAAGCTCCTGGCTACAGAGATCAAAGGTCCAGGAGGGAAGCGCCTGCTGGAACTCTGGAAAGGCCTTCTAAATAAATACATGATTTAACTTCTGGGTTGGTGCAGCTGTTGGCTTCCTTTTGTTACAGGCAGCAGTGACTCTGGAGACTGGTCAAGGTATAGAGAATACATGACTGTTGGTTGTCAAGCTGTACATAGGTTATCTTTCTCACCCACTCCACAGGAGGAGGAAGGAAAGGGCTGGACCCTTGAACTCACAGCACCTGTGATGAACTGCACACGATCAGCCTAAGACTGGGCCTGTTAACATGCTGTCACAGGAGGGGATCATGAGACCTACCCATCCCTGATTAGAAGAAGTTATGGGAGGGGGAGGGACATTTTCTTCAGTGGTGTAACCACTGGTAAGGTTCTCGTTCTCCTGTAAAGAAACCCTTCCTGAGGCAGGCCTGGTGGGGCACACCTTTAATCCCAGCACTCAGAAAGCAGAGGCAGGTGAGCTTGAGAGATCAGCCTGGTCTAAACAGGAATCTGGAAATAAGCCAGCCAAGGCTACATAGTGAGACTGTATCTCAATCAATCAATAAATAAATAGAAAAAGAAAGAAAGAAAGAAAGAAAGAAAGAAAGAAAGAAAGAAAGAAGGAAAGAAAGAAAGGAAGGAAGGAAGGGTATATTTCTCATTTTACTATAAAACAACTCTATTGAAAATCATGGAGTCACAAACGCCAAAAAGACACAAAGCCACAAGGAGGTTAAATTGGAAAGAAGGTTAGCAGAAATGGGAAAGGAAGGGATAAGAGAGGGTAACAGCTTCACCCATGGTGTGAGGATGACACTGCCCAGCTCCACTGTGTGTGTGTGTGTGTACACACACATAATACACACATGTGTGCATGCACATGAGAGAGAGAGAGAGAGAGAGAGAGAGAGAGAGAGAGAGAGAGAGAG